TTGACTTGATCCTCGCCAATTTGCCTGCTGCAGATGCATCTGTCCATGATAGGCTGTGCAGTGGTCACTTGTACCGATACTTTGTGGAGATGAAGTCCCACCTTCACATTGAGAATACCTTGCACCGTGTTCTGCAGCACTATCACTGTGCTAAATGGAGTAGCCTTAAAATAGATCTAGCAACTCGACGGGTCCATGAGGAGCTGTGGGTCATCGGCAGCAGAATTGTGCTCTCACACGATCTGCAATCTCGTGGCCTGGCATATCCCCCTACTCAACCATTACCGTCAAGTCAGGAGATCAACCGTAGTTCAATGAAGAGTAGAAGAGGGCATGCCAGAAGCAGCACCAGGCATACCTAAAAATAAGCTGTAAACCTGATTGAGTTACAAAGCAGGACTACATGCGTGCCAAACTGCATAAGCAGTGAGTGATAGAGTGAAGCAAACCCACTGCCAATGGATCTGAGCTCTGCAGTCTTGCCTCCATCCAGTTGTGAATGGCGGTGGACAAGTAAACCACTCGCTGCAGGAGCAGGCTTCTCGAGTATCCCATCTTCAATGATGGGAGAGCCCAGCATATCAATGGAAAAGATCAGATTGTTGCGAATGCTTCACCCTTTAAACCAGAGGTGCCTGGTGGATGATCTGTCTTGGCCTCCTCAAGTGGTCCCCAGCATCACAAATGCCAGTTTTCAGCCAATTTATTTCATTCTATATGATATCAAGAAACTGCTGGAGATCCTGAAAACCCCAAGGCTATGGGCTCTGACAACATTCAGCAATAATACTGAAGATTTGAGCGCCAGACCTTGCTGCACCCCTAACCAAGCTGTTCCAGTACAGCTACAGCACTGATATCTACCAGACAATGTGGAAAATTGCCCAGGTATGTCCTTTACATAAAAAGCAGGGCAAATCCAACCTGGCCAATTACCGCCCCATCAGTCTTCTCTTGATCATTATCAGTAAGATGGAGGGTGTCATCAACAGTGCTATCAAACAGCACCTACTCAGCAATATCCTGCTCAGTGGCGCCCAGTTTGGGTTCAACCAGGCCACTCGGGTCCTGACCTCATTACAGCTTGATTCAAACATGAACCAAAGAGCTGAATTCCAGAGGTGGAGAGAGAATGATAGCCCTTGATATCGAGGCTTCAATTGACCCTGTTTGGAATCAAGGACCCCTAGCAAAACTGGAGTCATTGGGAATAGGGCCAAACTCTCCAATAGCTCGTCATACATAGCACATTGGAAAATGGTTGTTGGTCAGTCATCTCAGCTCCAGGACATCTCTACAGGAGTTCCTCAAGAGTGTCCTGGGCCCTACCATCTTCAGCTGCTGTATCAAATGCCTTCCCTTCGTCCTAAGGTCAGAAGCGGGGACAGTTGCCCATGATTTCGCACCATTTGCGAATCCTCATACTGAAGCAGCTCGTGCTGAAACGCAACCAGGCATGGACACTATACCAACTTGGGATGAAAAGTGGCAAATGGAATCATTAATTGTGTCAAAAAATGCCAGGCAATGACCATTTCTAATAAAGGACAATCTCACAGCTGCACCTTTTTTGACATTGAATGGTGTCACCATTATGGAGCCTTCCTCTCGTCCACCACCGCCCCCCCCACCCCCAACAACCACCACCACCATACCGTATTTAACATCCTGGGGATCACCATTGACCAAACAATGAACTGGACTCACCGCCTGACTTCCCAAAATCTGTCCACTATCTGTAAGGCATTAATCAGGAGTGAGGTGAAGTAATTCCTATTTGCCTGGATGAGTGCAGCTTCGACAACACTAGAGAAGCTTGGCACCAACCAAGATAAAGCAGTCTGCTTGATTGGTACCACATCCATAATTATTGTCGCTCCACTGCTGATGTTCAGTAGAAGTAGTCTCTAAAATCTACAAGATGCACTGCAGAAATTTGCCAAAGATCCTGGGGCAGCATCTTCCAAACCCACAACCAGTTCCACTAAAAGGACAAGGGCAGTAGATACATCAGAACATCAACTGCAAGTTCCCCTCAAGCCACTTACCATCCTGGTTGGAAATATATCGTCATTCCCTCACAATCACTGGGTCAAAATTGTGGAATTCCCGGTCTAATGGCATTGTGGGTCTATCTACAGCACCTGGACTGTTAACACTTCAAGAAGGCAGCTCACCTCTACCTTCTCAAGGGCAACTAGGGGCGGGCAACAAATTTTCTGGCCAGCCAACGATGCCCACATCCCATGAGTGAATCAAAAAGAAACTTTTTTAAAGGGGTTTAAAGCCATTAAAAAAAGGTGCTGTTGATACTGCGTTCTCCTTATGAAAAATGAGACACTGATGCTGTTTCAGTTGGAACAGCGAAGACCAATTGGATGTTTTATGGAAATTTTGTTTTAAATCATTCGGGGATGAATAAGAGGACAGATTTCCTGTGTTTGTCTCTGACAGTTGCGGAGGCAGATGGTATCGCTTTTTAGCAAAAGATGAATGAACACTTTAAAGCAGAGCAACTATAGAAGTGAGCAAGCTGGTGGTATTCATTTTGGATTGCTCTTTTAAAAAAAAAAAAGCCAGCATTGATATAGTTGGCTGCTTAGTTTTGTGCCACAAACTTCAAGTTTCACTAGGACTCTAGTGCTACTGATTCGGCTGAGAATATTTTGAGGAGCTAGGTCTGGACCTTGAGCCACGTGCCAAATTACTTTGGGTTAAACAGACCAGAAAATTGGATGTGTAGAGTAGGGAGAGGGATTTTAATTTATAGGGCCCTCACAACAATACTTTTGGGGAGGTGGGTGGGAAATTAGTCAAGGGAAACATTATAGGAATGGAATAGGAAACATCCTATAATTTTGGGCTAAGATATTAATGAGGAAGGAATGGGAATTCAATTCATATGGGTGGGGTATAAGAACAAGAAACTGTTGGGAGAAGCTGAAAGAACCTCTAACAGTAGCTATACTGTTGGACAGAATATTACCCAAGGAAGAAGAGGAACTTGCAGCCAAAGGTAATTCGATAATCAAATAAGTTATTTAATTTTCATTTTAGACTGGACAAATCAAATTGACAACAGTATTTAGAGAAGAGCTTCACAAAATATATTCAAGACAGTTCCTGCAAACAATATGCATTCAACCAAACAGGGAACAGGCTGTTTTTGATCATGCTATTAGAATATCACATGCAGCTCCACTGATACACACATTCAAATCTGGAGTCTGGGTCTTCAACATCAATTACAAAGATATAAGGGGTGAGTTTGCTCGGGTGAATTGGGAAGTTAAATTATCTGACAGTAGATGAGCAATAATGAACATTTAAAAATACTTCACAAATCTCCATACATGTGTTTCATTTAGGAATAAATGATCCATTGCAGAGGCGATTCACTGTGGCTAATCAGAGACTTAGGAATGGTTTTGGCTTGAAAATATACTTAATGTTTCCAGAAGTAGTAGTAAAGTAGAGGACTGGAGTCATTTTAGAAATTGGCAAAGGATGACCAAAGGATTGATAAAGACCGAAAACAGGATATGGGTAAACCAGTGAGAAGCTAGTCATTCTCCCATTGTAACAACTGCTAAAAATTAAAATAGACGAATAACAAAAAACCTTTAAAAGTCTGAGTTATGATAAATTATAACTGAGAATGAGAAAATAACCAAGTACTTTGTATTTGTTTTCATAGATGTATGCAAATACCAGATGTAGTGGGGAAACGAGGGGAGTGAGGAATTTTAATGTAATTAATTTCTTCAGCACTTTTTTTTTTTTTTTTCTTTACTGAGACTAAAAGCTAACAACTGGCCTGGACCTGATGGTTTCCATCATATGGCTGTAGAAGAGGTGGCAATAGAAATAGTCTGTACACTGTACACTGGTTCTGGTCTTCCAAAATTCTCTAGATTTTGGAATATGCTGGTGGGGAGAAAGCAAGGAGCTGCTTGCCAGTTAGCCTGACGTCCATCTGTGAAATTGCTGGAGTTAGCCATTCAGGAAATGGTAACAAAGTGGTTGGAAAATCATGTGACTAGGTGGAGTCAGCATGACTTAAAAGGAAATTGCACCTAACAATTTTTTGAGGATGTAACTTTCAGAATATATAATGGAAACCAAAAAGGGCAATGTTTCTCGGTTTTCAAAAGGCTTTCTCCAATGTACCATTTCTGATGTTGTCTGGGATATTGCCTAACTGAGTGTTTATTGAGTGCAACATGAGGAAATGTGAAATTAACTTTTTGGTAGAGAAAAACAGAAATAGCTGATGATGACACGAAACTGTTAAACATTGTTTAAAGGGATTTGGGTGACCTTGCACATGAAACGCAAAGTTAACGTACAAGTACAGCAGCCATTTGAGAAAGCAAATGGTATTTCAGTGTTTATTGTACAGAATTTGGAGTACTAGAGTAAACAAGTCCAGTTGTGATTATGTAGGGCTTTGAAATGGTACCTGGAATACAGTGTGCAGTTTTGGTCACCTTAGCTAAGAAAGGATATACTTATTTTAAAGATGGTGCCACACAGGATCACTAGAATTGCTCCTTGCTTGAAGGTGTCCTGAGAGGAGAAATTGAGTAGAATATGTCCATGCTCAATGAGAGATGGATGGTATCATTGAACCATGTTTGAGTCAGCGACTGGTTTCCCTAGCTGGAGGGTCTAGAATGAAGGTACATAATCTCAGCATAAGGTGTTGACTGTTTAGGACTGGGATGAACAGAAATCTCTTCACTCCAGAAGATTGTGCATCTTTGGAACTTTCTACCCCAGAGGATTGTGGGTGCTCAGACATTAAATATATTAAATATATTGGACACTAAAGGAATCTATTGTTATGGCAGGAAAATAGCATGATGGTTGAAGATCAGCCTTGATTTTGTTGAATAGCAGTACAGGCTTAAGAGGGGTCATGTAAACTAATCCTCCCATTCATTGTCTTACATTTGTATACTTTTCACCCAGGTCAGAGTCGGTTTAATTCTGTATGCTGATTTAAATTCATCCCATTTTAAATTATTGCAAAACTTGTTCTTTGAAACTCCAGGGCACTGCTTTAAATGCAAGTAAATTGTTTTGATCTATTTACCAAAATATCCAACATAACTCGATTTGTGGAAAATTCTGACATTAAAATTATTATTTTCTGTACAGATAGTCAATCTGGTGGGACTTCACTAGACGTACTACTTGCTCTGCTGCAAACAGAAGGAGCAAAAATTGAAGAGGAAACTGAGGTAAATGTATCTCACGATTCGAGCATTTAATTAAAAAAGTTAGTTTGTTCAATGAGTAACTGCAGCACAAGTTATGTTACTGAGGAAGATGGAAACATTGAGGAAGTCCCAAGCTGAAGCTATTGTTTACTGATTTAATTAAACTCAGTACTTGGGTTTGGTGTCCCTGGGCTATGGACGAGGAATATATTCATGCTGGCTTCCCACTCCTGTTCATATTGCAACAAGTCTGTGTGGAGCTGAGAGTAAGTTTGGGTTAAGCTATGATTTTCCCCTTAATCTCATGAGCTGTGAATATTTTATCTGCAAAAATCTGACATTCAGTTCATTTATTCAGTGTAGAAACTATGTGGAAGAAAAATGCCAATGATTACTAAAGATAAAAATAGTTTCTTCTTCAATTGTATCATTATTTCCACTTACAAATGGAATATTTGCTACAGTGCCTTCTTAAAAAGATAAGTGTGTTATGTTTTGACATGATTGACAAAGGGTTGTCAGTCTCATTCAGCTTTGTTTTAGGTCATGTTTTAGTATCTATTCCCAATTAAGCATTTCTGAAGGAGGTAGAGACCAAGTCTATAGTGCATATTACATCAGCAACGTAAATTTCATTGCAGTCATTGTAAAACTATATGGTTGCACAGCAGGAAGCAAGGTTCTTGCTAGGAAGTCATACTGAATTAGAGACAGAGCCTCTTCCTGTTCATTTTAAAATTTCCATATTCAAATAAAATATAATATCTTTAGTTACAAAACAAGCAATGTGCATGTGGGCAACAACTGGTACACTTGTGATTTGACAGTATTAAATACCTTTTAAAGTCTGCGTATTGAAGAATATATTTGGAACAGATATTCTATGATAAGTTGGTGATTGCAATGTGATTTTGAATCCAGTAGTTAAACTATAGTGAATCTGTTCTACGTGTTAAGATTAGTTATGCCTGTTCATATGAATGTTTTGTAATGCAATAAGACGTGTGAATCACTGATGTTTTGTTTTTCTCCTTTATTGCAAAATATTGGCATTGAGAAAACTCTTGATGGTCTTAATCTCTCATTTTCAGATCATGGCTCAGGAGTTTCTGGATGGTGAAATGCCATTGGACATTTTCATTGAGCAATATCAGAATAAAAGGAAACTGGCTCATCAGCGGCGGGTAAAAATTGAGAAATTGCAAGAGATTGTCTTAAAAGGACCGGGGCTAAATCAAGCACGGTTGCCACAGCTACCGAAACAACCTGAGCCAGTACAAACAAATCAGAACTCCTACTCCACAGAATCAAACACTCCCACTGTTATGCCTAGGAGGGTTCCACCACCCCCACCTGTTCAACCAGGTGCCTTTCCCACTCCATTCACAAGTGCGGCCCTGGGCGCGGAATCGGTACCTCCTTATCCAGTACCTGCTGCTTTCCCTTCTATCCTGCCAAGATCTGGAAACAGTGCTCCAATTTCCACATCTCAATTAGGTTATCCGCTACAGTACAGGCCACCTTGTCCTCCACCAGTCGCTCAGAAAGCTGGACAGCGTCCTCCTCAACCAGGCTTTATTTTGCAGTAACTTTATTAAATGGAGTCCATTGCACTTTTTGTGTAGGTGCTTTTAATTCTACTGAAATGTTCAGTGTCTCTTAAAGCATACGTGACCTATATTTCTTTGAGGAGGGGGTTACATCTTTTGTGTTAGGAGACTGCAAATTAGAAGTTTCCTTCCACATGGCATCTTTCATAAGAATTTCAGAAAATTATGTATAGCAGCAAAGTTCTATTTTGTGCAAACACTTTTTTTGGATAAAAAGTTCAAAGATGTAATGGGGCCTTTACCCCTCTATTTCAATTTTATAACTCTCTGAATCTGTTGCACTTTTTGGATTGAGGCCGTCAGTAGAAATTCACTAGATTCAACTGATGCAAAACATTTACAAAAAAAATACAAATACTCTCAGAGGAAGTGAATTAAAATTTAAGATCAGACCAGTAGCAGACAGTTTCTGGAAATTTTTAGAGCTAAGTTGATTTGTTCCTGAAAATTTATATTTTTCAGCTTTTATATACTAATGATCCTCCATAGACTGACCCTGGCAGGTCAAAGTATGCTAGCAGTTTTGATTCCTATAGGAAGGGTGGGGTGAGGACACTGAAGATTACGCCTGTGTGACTGTATGATTGGGTATATTTTTTTTCCACCCCTCTGTTGAATCTGACTGTTTGTTTTTGAAGGAAGGAGGTGGTTTACTAATCTCCATTATTTCATATGAATGGAGTAAATTAAATGAATATTGATTATTTTTCACTTCAGTGTCATGCTAAAGTTTCTTAACTAGCTGTGATCAGTTAAACAGGATTGGCCAAAAAGTTGAAATATTGGCTTGTCTTATTGATATGTGTACCAGCCACTTTAAATCTTTACACACCTGTGACTATACCATACATTGTTCTCTTTAGCCACTTTTGACTTGCTTTAATTATAAAGCTTGATTCAAAGTCTTGTCTTTAGCACCAGGATGAAAAGGAATGTATCACGTCAACTGTTTGTATGCCCGGCTTTTTGAAGTCAATGAATCTGAATGTCAGACTTATCACCAGTTTCTGCCTCACCTAATCTACAACTAACTATTCTTCTCATGTTTTTCTATTATGAGTTACAGGAGCTGGATTCTGTTTTAAACTGTTACCCTGTAATGAAACTCATTTAAATTTGTGCAAGTATATAGTGTAAAAAGAAAAGTTAAGGGAAGACTGTCAGATGACTCTGTTTCACCCAGATGAATTAAGAAAACTGTAATACTTCAAATTTTTTTTAAAAATTGGTCAGCTGCGTTGCACAGTTGTCTCTTCTATCTGATCAATGATGCATGTTAAGCGGTTCCATTCAGGGCTAAAAGCAAATGGGCTACTTCATTTATTTGCAAACTCGTGACTCAAGGTATCATATGGCTGAATATTGAGTCTAAACATATGTTTGTAATGTGCCTTAGTAATATTTGTCATAAGGGACCGTGGGAAATGTTTTACTTTGTAAACTTGTGATGCTCATGCAAGCAGTACTTTTAATGAAATGTATGCATTTTGGGGAAATGGAGTTGGAGGAGGAAGGGGACTGTTGATGGTAATCAGATTATTTGACTATTTAAACTAGTAGTGTGCAGTATGTTGAGTAACAAAACTGTAATCTCCTATTGTTGATATTAAAATGGAATAAATTAGTTGGTGGTAAGATGATTCCTTCTGTGTTAAAATGTGCTATTGCAAGTGACTGACAGTTCAATCTCTTAAATGTGTTTTGTTATGATCTTGAAGTTGAATGTTGAGTTGCAAAATCTCTTTGGCACATTTTGCCATTCACAACTCAATCAAATAACCTGGCAACATCTTTAATCTAATAATTGAGCAGTTTGTTTTTGAGTATTTGTGAGATAACTTGGTCAAATTGCTTAAGTTGGTTTGAAAGATTGATTGTCTGCTGCAATTTCTTCATCAAAAATTGGAAGTGGTTCTTATGATAGATTATAACTGTGCCTACAATAGGAAAAACTCAGCACTTCAATTTCAAATGTTTTTTCAAACTAAAATATTTGACAACACTTTTGTGAAGTTTATAGTTTAGAACTGCTTATATTAATTGTGTAGTGGGTGAGCTACAGAAAGTTACCTCAATATTTTAATCATTCTATTAATAAAATCCAAAGTACTAAAACATTTTGCTTATGACTGTAGTTTCAATTCTTCTACATTGTCAGTAAAACTTGTCTTTAATTGCCGTGAGTCATGAGTTGAATTTGATCTCTTCTTAGCATTAAATTATTATAATTATTAAACTTGTATCATGGATATTTAAATGGAAAACTGATTATCATTAGAGCTAAGGGTAAGATACTGCTAAATATTTTCAGCTTTTAGTTTGAACAAAACATTATCACACTGCAGCGCTGCATTTCTGTGCATGCGTCTTTCTTACTCCGTCTAGTGATTGTTGCCCATAAATAGCCGATTCATAAAGGCTATGACTCATATTGCAGTGTATGCAGAGTTCACGTAAATCATTACAGCAACAAGCAGTGTCTTAATTGGAATAATTTGTGATAACTGATGTCCATTGTGAAATATATTAACTCAGTGCAGATAAATTATTCCTCAGGCTTACATTTCATGCACATCTACAGTTCAAGAAAACTCTTTATTGCCCTCTTGGGCTCCTTTTTGAATTCGTTTATTTCAACAACTGGTACTTCAACAGTATGTTTCACATAACAAAGTAACCCAAGGTACTTTGGACGTTCTTCTAGCAATAGAGGAGATGATTGATTTAATCATAACTTAGTTGTATTTTTGAACATGAAATAATGAGATAGGGTTGTTTAGAAACCAAATTAAAGCATCAGTGATTGGTTTAGAAGAGGGCAGGGGATCTGTGCGGTAAACCATGCTAGAAGAGCAAGAATGTACAAAGATTTTATGGTGGAGAAGTTTGCAGTGATGGTGGTAATGGATTATTTAATGCATAATACCATAATGGAAAAACGGGTGTGCTCGAAAGGGAAGATCATTAAGAGTTTGAATTTGTGTGTGATGGAACTGAGTAATTGAGCAGATCACTACGAAGTGTTTCAAGCTGATGAGTGCCTGTGTATGGAGGAGTGAGGGGTGTTATTGTGACTGAAACAGGCAGATTGTCAAATTAAAAGTCCATCTGGATCACAAGTGTCCTTTGGGGAAGGAAACCTTGCTTATATGATTCCAGACACAGCAATGTGGTTGGCTCCTAAATCCCATCTGAAATGGTCTAGCAAGCATCTGTTTTCAACCAGGTGACTTACTCCCATGAGAGTAATTTGTAAACAGCAATAGATGCTAGCTTTACCATTGATGTCTTTGTCTTTGTTCTGTGATTGACTTATAAAGATTAGGAGTATAGGTGGGTGATGTTCCATAAGTTGATCATTGATCAAACACTTTTATGTGAATATGGGAACCAAAGTAACCTGGAAAGGTATTGAAGGTGATCACACTGAGTTGTGACATATGAATGAAATAGAGGATGAAGGTAGCACATCCAGGATAAATCTGGGGACAAAATTAGAGTCTTAAGTGACAGTTATCCCATTTACTGAATAGTGACCCAAAATAAACAGGAAGTTTACATGTTTAAATCCATGTACTGTTGGGAAATCTCAGGTAGGGTTTAAGTGTGGATGCTTTCTAATAAAGATTGCTTTTTTAAAAAAAACTGTAGACATTGGCTGATGATCTGAGCAGTTTCAATTGTCTTGAGGGATACTTGGGCTAATTATATCTTCCATTCAAGGACAAAGATTGGCAAAACCCAGCACAGACTAGGATCTGAACATGGAACAGAATCACGTTAGCTGTGAGAGTTTCCCTGTGGACAGAACTTATCCAATGAAAATGTTGAGACTGGCAAGTTTTAAATCATTACATTTTATTTATATAACAATAGCGTTATGAGAAAAATGGTATTGCTAATGGCTTGATGAATAAATGCATATTGTGGAATCCTACAGTAGGTTAGAATAGCACTGAAGGTGAATAAATTCAGTCTCGCTCTTAAAAGAAAATGTACATCTTGTTTAGTGTGGGTTTGAACATGAAATAAATTTGGAATGCACTGCACTATTTGGGAAAGGTATTATTCTTCTTTTCCCAGCTGGGATGAGAGGGAGGCACTGGATTTTTATTTGTGACAATGATGACGTGTCCTGTTTATAGATTTCTCAATGGAGCTAGATGTTAGGGATATTCCCAATGGATCTGCTTTGAATGCAGAGAAGCTGGCTTAAGCTCTGTATACTAGGAAGTTGCAACACTTGATACTTATGGCTTGGTGTATTCCCAGAACTCAAAGCCTACTGCAGCAGCCCTAAAACCCAATTGAGTTAAATGCTGAGAAGTAGGGAGAAAAAAAAAAGTTTAGGTTTCCTGCTTCTCACCAATATTTTAGCACATGCGAAGATAGGAGTGATCTTCCTGCTTAGTCACCGCTCTGCTTAACAATCTGGGCACATAATTGAAAAGAAAATGGGATAAGGCTCCTTCAGTGTTAAAACATTGGTACAAAACCGGATTTGCTGGTTTCCACTCAGCCTGACTGTTTTACTTTGAGTGGGATACTGAAGGACAACCACTACCTATGCTAAACCCCGATAATAAGTAAACATAATGGGGCAGGGGGAGCAAAAGGTGTAAGCCTTTCAAAGAAGTGGGGTAAAGCACACTAGACATTAACTGAATATGCTACAGAATGGATCTGAGGTGCCAAACATTCCAGTTTATAATTACCTCCTCTTGAAAACACTTGCCCTTGATTAGGATCTGCATCTGCTATTTCTGTTTATCACCAAAAGCTAGTTGATATGTTGCTGAAATGTGACATTGACAGTTAAAATGAGAGATTTATCCAGGGGCTATGCTGGGACCAAGGATCAGACTAGAAGAAGAACAATCAGATGTTTCAAGTGGCAAGAGAAGTGTGACAAGGCTTTATAAAGTCCAATATTAAATCTATACAGATACACACACAATGCAGAATTAGATGAACTTCCTAGTGTAAAATGAGGTAAGAACATAGTTATAGTACAGTGGTGACTGTATTACTTGCAGAATCAGAAGAGGCCTAGATGAAGATCTAGTAAAATATTACAGATAGAGTAAAATTTAGAAGTTTAGAATGTGGATTGAATCCAAACACTAAAAGGAGCAAATTACTGCAGATGCTGGAATCTACTGAAGACAAACGTTGGAGATCAGTGGTCAGACAGCATTCGTGGAGAGGGAGGAGGCTAACATTTCAAGTCTAGATGACTTCATCAGAACTGAAGTGAGGTGTGGAGGGGCAACATTTATACTATAGTTATGGGGTGTGCCGGAGGTGGGTTTTTTAAAAAAAAAAAAGTTAATCTGAACCATCAAGTGATTGGAATGTGAGAATGGCAGAACAATGGTGTGTCTAACCACCAAACTAGAAAGAGAAGACCGTTTCACTGAGATGGGGGAAGGGAGAGAGAACATGGTGATAGATGTAACAAGTAAAGCTAAAAGAAAGGTAAGATGTGGGAGAATGTAACAAGTAAAGATAAACCACAGGGAAGAAATGGGAGTTGGTTCACAATTTGAAGGTGTTGAACTCCATATTAAGTCCAGAAGGCTGTAAAGTGCCTAGCCTGAAGTTGAGATGTTGTTCCTCCAGTTTGCAGTGATTCGCTGGAACACTGCAGCCTGAACACCCCAAACCTTGGATGTTGGAAGGAAAGCGTTAGAAGCCAGTTGAGATTGAAGTGGGCGGTGTCACACTGGATCAATTAGGTAAGTTGTTTTTTCTATTTCAGGTCAAATAAAGATAACAGATGCAATACTAAAGTCAGAAGAAGGATAGAGATGGCCAGAATTAGCACATCCTCCAACATCAAAAGCTAACAACAAAATCTACTAGCATGTAACAGTGGAGTTTGTTCCTTGTTACAAATTATCCTCCTCTTTTTGTATGCATGAGGAGTTTGGACAGTAGGTAAAGATCTGCAGAAGAAATCACATCCATATTTCAGAAGTCCCTAAAGATGTTTGCTTAAAAGTCTCCATACAAATAAGCCAAATGAAGAGGTGTTGGAGATTGGAAGAACATAAAGAATACTAAAATGTGATATTCGGGAAAGAAAAATCAGTAATTTGACTACTTGATCAGAATTGAGAAGTCACAAACTTGGATTGCTGCTATCTATTTTGCTGAAATGGGTGTCAATCTACCTGTAGTCAAATGATGGATATAATAGTGAGTTTGAAGATAACACAAGGTAGATGAGTATGACATAATTATGATGACAGATCTCTTGGTAATCATCTTTCTTTGGTATATATGGAGACATCGCATCTAATACAGGTAACTTCAGACTTGTGCACAACCAGCATTTTTAGCCCAACTAATGTCCATCTTTCCTTTTGATTGATTGATTGTCTTGGGATAACTCCTGCAGGAATTCACCCCTGAAGGAGTTGAGACAAAGAAGCTTAAGTTGTTAATGTAACTTTTCTCAGCTGTTTGTGGAAGGATATCTCCAATGAACAATGTCACCCCTTTCCTGTCTAAATGCCATTCACCTCCACCCTATCCTATCTGAAAGGTAGCAATTACTTTTTTACCTGGGTATTGCAGATTCTGCAATCCTTCTCAGCTATGAACTAGTACATTGACACA